GTTTTATTCAGCTCAATTTTAAATACCCGAAAAATAATAATTTGGTTAAAAAAAATTAAATTTTACTTTTTAATGTTTTTCTTTTTTCATTTATTGTTAATGTAGGTTGTTGGTATTATTGAAGTGTATAAAAATAAATTAATGTGGTTGAAATCTTTACTTTCTACTTATAATTTATAAATTATAAGTTATGCAATATTTTGTGAGAAAAGTAATAAATTTATGTATTCCTATCACTCATATTAAGAATAAACTAAATCTCTCATCTCATATAAAATTCATCTATTACATCATGCAATGTAATATAATATTCTAAAATCATTAAAATCAAATCATGGAAAGTAAAAGTTTCTATTAACCCATATCATCAAAGAAAATGAAATTTATAAACTTAAAATTACATAATTCTATCCAAATATCTTTAAGCGACAATACAAAACTAAATACATATCTTATCTACAACTAAAATAAAAGTCGAAGTCAACAAGGAATACTCATTGTTCACCACCTTTAACTAGACTTCTCTCTCACCTACCTTGCCCCAAAAATCAACAGCCAACTACCGCACAACCATCATCATTCACCCCCAACAACACGTCCATGACCTCTCATGCCCTCTCTCCCCAAAAGAAATAGAAAAGAAAAAAAGAAAAGAGTGAAAAGGAGAAAAAGGAGGTAGCGTCGAGGTACGGGAGCTTGAGATATGAAAGAAATGTGCGAAGATATGGAAAGTTGAGAACCCTAAAATTGAATTGTTGTTTTATAACTATATTTTTTTTGGCAGAAGTATTAAAAAGTAAGATTTTATAATTGGGCATTTAAATTAAAAAAATTACAATTTTCTCCCAAACAAATATTGTTTTATAAGATTTTAGAAAGATATAAAGAGAAAATCAAATAAAGAGAGAAATGAAGGTGTGAACCATACACTACTCCTCTTTATTTTGTTAAGATTCTTATTTTTTTAAAACTAATTTCTTTTAACTAATTGAGTCTCCTGTGAACATGAGAACAAAAAGGTAGACCTCGGCATCCAAACTGAACCATATGTGAAGATAAAAATATTTTTAATAAAATTATTTACATTATCGGTTTAAAAACAGTTTTTAATTATTTTTTAATTAATAGATAAGAAATTTAAAATTATAAACTCTAATAACAAGTAACTATTTAAATATCAATTATCAACTACTAATTTCATCTAAATTATTAAAACAAACTTCTCCATACACTATTGCAAATAGATAAGTAAAACATGATAGCCAATCATTCATGGGTTGTATAAACTATAAATTTTAATAACAATCAACTATCAAGTATAAATTAATAACCATGAACTTCATTTAAATTACTAATATAAATGTCTCCATACACTATTTGCAAATAGACGAGTAAAACATGATAGTCATTCAGCGGGTCATATAAATTGAACTTTAATAATAATTAATACCAAATATTAATTATTAATGAGATTTCACACATATAAAAATATTATTTTTTTAAAAATTTTTAATTAAGAATATCATTTTTTTTAAATTTTTAATAAAAATATTTACATTATCGGTTTAAAAACAGTTTTTAACTCTTTTTAAATTAATAGATAAGAAATTTAAAATTATAAACTCTAATAACAAGTAACTATTAAATATTAATTATTAACTACTAATTTCATCTAAATTATTAAAACAAACTTCTCCATACACTATTGCAAATAGATAAGTAAAACATGATAGCCGATCATTCACGGGTTGTACAAACTATAAATTTTAATAACAATCAACTATCAAGTATAAATTAATAACTATGAACTTCATTTAAATTATTAATATAAATGTTTCCATACACTATTTGCATATAGATGAGTAAAACATGATAGTCATTCAGCCGGTCATATAAATTAAACATTAATAATAATTAATATCAAATATTAATTATTAATCAGATTTTACACATATAAAAATATTATTTTTAAAAAAAATTTTAATTAAGAGTATCACTTTTTTAAAATTTTTAATAAAAAATATTATTTTTTAATTTTATAATTTAAAAAT